CCCTTATCATTTTCGTGTCACATCCTGTCATATCGATATAAGTAAGTATTGCACTACAGCGCTATTGGCGATAGAAATTAAAATCAAAAAATATGGACAAGCAGCATGGACAGGCAGATTCATCAGTGAATCGCCGATTAGGAGGTGACCTGGAGTAATCACGAGGAGGTGGTGTGAGAGATCAAAAATTCAATATTGCTTCTATTTCAGCGACAAAGGTGTAAAAATCTTCGTATACGAAGGTTGCGGCGGATGCTACTCGCTTGAGATGGTGTTTTACCGCTGCCTCCCAGATATCTCCGAAATGGGGTGCCCTTGGTGGTATAAAATGCCATTGGATCGATCGATGACATCTCTTTATGACGCTTCACACCTGACTTCGTCAATAGGCCAGTATGTTCTTCGGACCGCATAAAGCGTTGCTTGCACACCGGCATGTAGTTGGAGATGATGTTCCTGTTCTATGATTCCTGTTCTATGATAAGGCGGTTACGTCTTATTTAGGCAAGATGATTCCATGTCGTTGTGAAAATGGGGTAGAATGTTTCAATCTGCCTCCGACTTGTAACAAACCGTCTTTGTCGAGAAACGGATTCATTCTTTGGAGTTTGCTCTTGAGTAGAGCACTTGGGTTGGGAGCGACAGGGAAGCTCACCTTCGTGAACCTTTCGTCTTGAAAGAACAAACGCTGAATAATTTTGATGATGGAGTTGCGTGCGCGTTGAAGTCCAATCACTGTTAGAGGTCCCTGGTTGTGATGCTTCCATCGACGACAGTAGGCAATAACACGAACCAGTTTCCCCCACGATGAGTATCTTTTGACGATGGTTGTGTGACGCCAAAAAAAAAAAAAAAAAAAAATTCAGATAAACCCTCGCCCGTCATCGGATGAGAGCCAGACCTTTGCGACACTCCAAAACTCCAGATTCAAACCTTCTTAATCACCAATGGCCACCCATAACGAACAGGGCTAAGGTTCAGTATAAGTAGAGGCTCCTCCAGCCGTTCAAGTCAGTCTTAACACAGTTCTGAAACCGTGACCAGCTCCGATTCAGTGTATAAACCATATGTGAATAAATAAAGTCGCTCGAACAGCTTTGGCTAATTCGAGATTCTTTCCACATTAAAAGTGTTATTTATTACGTGACAGTTGCGTCGATGGATGTCATGGCCAAACAAATAGCTACTTTCTGTTCCGGGCGTGTTGCCGTCCAAGTTGGTCATTGGATTTCCTCCTCAGTGAGCCAATCAGGACTGTTTTGCCAATTGGATGGCCGTAGAAACTCTGTCGGGGACTGATCTCGCGAGATCAGATCGGCTGAATTCTTTGATGTTCCGACATGTCACCACTCTGCTCCGTTTGTGAGGCGTTGAATCTCTGCGACGCGATTCGCAACAAATGTTTGAAGTGTGTGGAGATCGATTGATCTAGTGCAATAAGACGGTGCTATCTGTCCACAGAAATGTTGACGTCAATACATAAACTCTGTTCAACTGTGGTGGCTAGTGTTGCAAGGAGTACCGCGTCGCAGAGTTCAAGGCGTGGGATTGTCTGTTGCTTCAATAGAGCCACCTTGGATTTTACGATCAGTAGGCTTACCTGCAAGTGACCCTCTTTATCGATAGTTCGAAGGTATATGTTCGCGCCGTAGCAGTCGCAGAATCCATAGAGCTGGATCTCAGTAGCTGCCTTGATGCCGGTGTTCCGTTTGAAGCTTACGTTGTTGAGAAGCGGAAGTTCTGCGTAGTATCGCGTCCATTCGGAATGGATGTCCATCGGATAGCGATTCGTCCCATTTCACCTTCAGAACTCAAATCTTTTGCAAAAGTAGTTTTGCGGTGGTGATGACGGGGCCGAGAAATCCTAATGGATCGTATATTTTCGCGATCTCCGAACAAATGTATCGTTTTGTGATACTGGTTGGAGGCGTCGTTGTTTTAACTGAGTATTGTATGAGATCCTGTGCAGCGTCCCACACAACCCCCAGTGTCTTCAACTTGGATGAATCCCCCAGATACATCTTTTCGTTGATCGCGTTCTGTGGTAGATCACGCAACAGATGCGGATCATTAAATGCCCACTGCCTTATGTTTAAGCCAGCAGTTCTGAGAATCTGTGTGAGTTTTTCTCGTAGAGCGAATGCCTCCTCTTGTGTTGGAGCGCCAGTGAGAGCGTCGTCCACGTAGAAATCCCGTTGCAGAATTTCAGCGGCCTTAGGGAAACAGTGTCCTTCATCTTGTGCCAGTTGCTTCAGACCAGATCGCTAGGTAAGGAGCTGCGGATAGCCCGAAGGTGACAATGTTGAGTTGGTATCCCTTAAGTCGTTTGTTGATGTCGCGCCATAGGATGCTTTGGTATGGTCTGTCTTCCTCGCGTACGAGGAATTGCCTGTACATCTTCTCGATGTCGCCAGTAAGAACGTATTGATGGATGCGATATCGTAGAAGGATGTGCAGTAGGTCGTTCTGGAGTTTTGGTCCCGTGTGTAATGCTTCATTTAGTGATATTCCAGAGCTGGTGACGGCTGACCCATCGAAGACGAGGCCTTAGTTTGGTTGTGGAACTGGAGCTTTTTACTACCCCGTGATGTGGGAGAAAAAATCCCCGTATTGATGGTTGCTGGGTTTCGGATAGGTGTCCGAGATCTAAGTATTCCTGCAGGACAGCATGATAAAGCAGGATCTCTTTAGCTTTCTTTCTAGGGAAAGTAGCCTCTTTTCGGCCTATGCTCTAGATTCGTCGAGCTGCTGTTTCTTGTTATTGAACGGCAACGTGACAACGTACCTTCCTTCGGAATTGCGTGTAGTATGGGTGCGAAAGTGTTTTTCACACGCCGCGTCGGATTCCGATAATCTTTGTATCTGCGGCCCTTCCTCGATTTTCCAGAAGCGAGTAAGGTCAGCTTGTAAAGTGGTTATGGAGTGGCACTTGGTTGCGTGAGTCGCACTGGTGGTCGGTGCACTCCTCCAGATGACCTATCCGAATCTGGTTTTTTGTAAATAATGCAAAGTACAGAGAGGGCTGCTCCGGCACCTAGGAGCATCTCGACTGGCGCAGGTCGAAAGTTGGATCGGCTAGCTTGATGTTCTTTGGTATTTTGATTTTTGATCGGTTTTCGGGTATGACGGAGAAAATCTTAGGAACTATTAAAAATGTGAGTGTCCGTGAGTAATTGCTATTGCGAGATTTGATTGTTGTTTTGAGGGTGGCTCTTGCGACCGTGGAGATTGTATTGAGGCCGTCAATGGGGATGTGATATCTTCGTTGTTGGATTCCGAGCTGCTTCGCAAAGCCCTCGGAAATGAAATTTGTCGTTGCACATGTGTCTATCAAGGTCCGACAATTGACCGCTTGGGAGTGTTTGTTTAACACATTGATTCTTGCGATCATTAACAGTTCAGACGTGATAGTATTAGCAACGAATACTTTCCTCTGCTTCCCCATCGGCGCCCTTGGTCATTTCGCAGCGCTCTCACTCTTGGACTGGTTAGGTTTTGACTTATTGGTTTCTGTTGCTTCTCCGTGTGATGGCGTCGTCGATGGCAAACTCGGCACGAACTGTCTTATTGGCATTGTTTGATTATGTGACTGTCGCGCAGGTTATTGCAAATTGATGCGTCTTTGACGATGGTAATGCGCTCAGAGACTCCCTTTTT